ACATTTTAATGCTTCCCCTGCACTGAATCAATCAAAAGCTTATCCTGACGTACCTTGGTAAGCACTTAGCTTGTCGCCTTCAGTGCAGTTTAAAAAATCTTAGAAAATTTTGTTGCTTCTTCCAGCATTGTCTGAATCAAAGTAATGCATTTTTTTATCCCATGTATGGAACTCAGGGGGCCAGAAAGTGCAAAACTGGTAACGGCACACCCATGCGTTATCTGTCCCCGCTACCCGTGCCTCGCTTCAGTTTGGCACTGATAATGAATATCACCATATCAATATAACTATGTATTTTCCAATTTTTCTCTTCCTTACTTTTATGGCGCAGTGTGTCGTTGAAACCTAGCACAACGGTTTTTCCGATTTGGATTCTGAAGTATTAAGCTGAGCTGCATAACAAGCCATTTGCTGGCACTTGCCGCTCAGCTTAATTGTGAACAAATACCGCATACCTCATCAGAGGAAGTGCAACACGGTGCATTCTCGACGTGCTGGAAGCACACAGGACCATGCAAAACGTTGTTCTCACTCTCACTGGGATGAAGAATCCGCGTCGACTGTGGTATTATTCAATTTGGCAGCAATGTATTGCAAACAGATCTTGCAATTTCTTCATAACCGAGTATGCAGTGGCTTTTAACGCTGATGCTGATGACCCCAGTCGAGCCTCACTGCCTATGATTATTATTGTCACCACATTAATTTATGATTTCTACTTAACAAAGCAGTAACACTGATGTTAATGTCATTAGCTAGTATATCCGTTATCTTCCATCACCACTATCAATGATTATGGCTGCTGATTGAGGGAAGCGATAAATATCAAACTGGGGAATGTGAAGCGTTGGTTCGGGCCCGGATCAGCTCGCTAGGAAAAATCGAAAAAGAGCGCATTTTTACTCTTTTTACAAATATTATGGATTCAGGCGCAACACTTTGAAGAATGCATGGAATGGGGCAGCTCACAAACTAATCATTCCCTGGCCGTCATATATCTTTTGTGTACAGCGGCCGGTGTGCAAGCAGTGTGCCCCCTTGCGTCCAGCCATTAGCGCCAATGAAAATAAATCAAGAATTTCGAAATTCTTGCAACTTTATATACAGCTCAGAATCCCAGAGCCGTGTAGAAGCGCACTGGAACAAGTTACTGTTACTCTAGTAAGACAGTAGTCTGGTTGACTCGCAGACGCATCGAACTTTCAAAGCATTGCTCGTAACATACGAAAGGTAAGTTATAAAAGAGTAACGAAGAGTATAACGGTGATAAATTGCTCGGATAAAATGCCTAAAGAAAGTTTACCAGTGAGCCAAGCTCATCCGATTCTTTGCGTTCTACTTGCTACATACTTTGCAGCTACACTTCGCTGGTTGCCAGTTTATAAAATTGACTTCAACCTGAGCCTAAAGCCACACGGATCGGCCAAAACGATTGTGAAATGGTTGCAGATTCGTGGCTTCATACGCAATCAACGACTGTGTTCTTACGGTTCTAGCTTTCTGACTTCCATAATCCTGGGGAAGTTTTATTCAAATATACACATACAAGCACATCTTGTGCTTTCGCTGGAAGGAACGTACAGTGGGTTTAAAACAAACAACCAGAGAAACAAAAAATAAACGTTTCCTTGGAATTTCGTAAAAACGAAAGAATTTGGCGTCGTTTGGTGTTCGTTTCTACGCTTTCTGTCGTTTTCTGCTATATCTCATACCATTCTCCCCCTTGCCATGCGTTGGTCCAACCCACGAAATGATGTGAAGTATTTGTAAGTTGCTCTCTGATCACAAAGCTGTAACGTTACTGTAACTTTCAGTCTGAGACGCTTGGCGTTGCACATTAATAAACAGCTGCTATAAATTTTACCGCTGTTTTCTTTCTTGCAGTGAAGTCAAGTGATAACTTAATCCCGAGCTTTCCCCCCAACCAAACAACTTTGTAGGAGCGTTCAGTTGTATCCAACTGCCATTTCACCGAGAGCTAGTAAATGAGTACTGCTTAACAGTCAGATCTGTCCACGCTGTAACTTTAGTCTCGTAACGCTACCCACCCAGTTCTTCCTTTTAGTAGACACACTGCCAGGACCATTTCATTTGCGTCATACGGAAAACTAAGAAAAACTTGCTCTCTGAAATTTGCTGCAAGTTGCTGATGCAGATCATGCTTCCGTTCACGATTTCTTAGGTTGCTGCTAAATTCGCTTCAGAAAAAGCATGTCTGCCGGGTTGCATTCATACAGCGGAACCGATGACGCCGCGAAGTGGTACCAGCTGTCGACCTTACGTATCATATAATGGACGTCTTATGATCTCTCTCAATTCTGCTTTCTTCCTTCTGCTTAGTTCCAGAGTTAAATAGTCATTCTTCAGTGATGCTTCTCCCAAAAAGTACGTTAACTGGCGACAAGTGCAACAAATAGCGTTCACAATGTTTATACGAAAGACTGAGCCATGCATTTCGGTGCTGACAGGAAAAAAAAATCTGTAGAATTTATTTACACCTCGTGAGACACAGGTTTTAAAAATCCAAAATTCCGCAGGTATTCGCAAGTCATATTGTGATTTTTGTATGAACTGATATTGTTTCCTTCTGAGATGCTTTTCGCACGATGGGTCACATCGGCAACCAGCTGATCTGCAGCTGATCATTCTCAGTAAAAGTGCTTCGGCTCAGGCAGCAGAGTGGCTAATCACCGCCGCTCAGGAGTGAAGTGTGGGAGAATGTAATTAAACAGCAGCATTTAAAAAAACCCCTTAAAATTAAATCGATACAGTTGTGATGGACAAGTTTCGCGGCCGACACAAGTAAATTTGACGGACCGAACACGTTGCTCTCGTCGTCAAGAAACAGTAGAGTGAGTACTCACGCTACCCGAAATGGTCTCTTGAAAGAACAGGATAGGAATCATCCGATGAGGCTATGCTCGGTGTGGGAGCACGAAGCAGTTGCGTGGACAATCCTGACGGTGGTGGAACAATAAATTACTAAACAGGTAATAAGCGATGATGGAATAAAAGGAAAGTGCGCAATTTATCCAAAAGCATGCGCCGTTAAAATTATGCATATAAGACGACAAGAACATTGAAATGCATCGCGAAGCAGAGCGCCACGGCACTGTGTATGTGTATGTATGTGATGCGGCGGCATTCCCTTGGTTCTCGCAACACAAATGTTTTTCGGAACCCTTCGCTTCCATCGCCACGGCTCCTGGAAAAAAATAGCTGCCTCTGGTCGGCACATTTTGAAAACGAATACAAAAACAAAGCCACTGAAATGATGTTCGGGACGGAGCTGTCCTGTCGAAGTATACGGGTACCAGTATGTTAACAAACTGTGCTGCTTCACTTTTTTACTGTTAAATCCGCATGTTGTAAGCCCGCTGCAAAAAGTCTGATAAGCTAAATTGATTAGCAAATTAACAAAAGGGAAGTTAAGCCAGTTTAGTGAGACACACGAGAGGTACAGTGAAGAAAACAAGAGGCAGTTACGTGTCGGAAGCGCCAGTATCGCCGGGGCAGGGTCATTCACTTGAGTTCACAAGTACGGATTTTTAATCAGGAACGCATGTGAAACCAAACATCTGCTAAAAAAAACCGAGAGGTGCCAGATAATAAGAAAAACTGGTTTCGAATTATATAGCACTGAATCGCTAAATCCAAACAAAAAGACCAAAACCTTAAAGAAGATACTCTTTTGGTCAAACGTCGTTTGACACCGCTTTCTTTCGTCCAAGACTCAAACCAGAACTAGAAAAATTCAAACCCACTTATAATTCCCTCGCTATGAGTGGCAGGGTACCTGAAAGCGCTCCGTGGAGTCTTTTTCGCCAGGAGCTA